GAAAGATTTGTGCCACTGCGTAGTGATCTCTAAGACTTATTAAAATGTAAAAGTGCAGAAGAATGTATATAGTATGCTACCTTTTGTGTAAGAATGAAAGGGAATATGAAATATATTATTTACTTTTATTTTCAAAAATAGCAGTGGGAGAACAAACTAAAAACTAAAATGAGTTATATAGAAAAAGGGAGAGAACAGTGAGAAGATAGGGATTTTTCTTTTGTGCTTAATTATAATTTTAAAAATCTTTACAATGAATATTTATTGTTTCTCTACTAAAAAAAGAAAGTTCTTTTTAAGGCTATAAAACGGTAGGTAATATATGAGACCGTGTCAAAAAGAAAAATAGATTTCCCAAAATGCAATCTCTGGAGAGTGGGATTAAGGTCATTTTAATTTTCTTCTTTTACTTTTTCTATATTTTAAGCTTTACTATAAGGAACATAAAGTACTTTATAAAAATAAAAAGGAACAATAACATTATTCTTTAAAAATAATAAGAGTCAGAAGAATTTTCCATTGCTTCTGTAGGGCTGTCCAGGGTAAGTATTCTGACCCATGGGCGTGAATATGTGGTTCCTTTGGCTAAAGATACCTAAAAAGTAAGTAAGTGCTCTCACAGCTTGTTGCCACTAACCATGAAGATCACTAAACAACCTCTAAGTGACTTTCTGTGACTTTATAAGCTGTTTGAACCCAAACATGGGAAACAAAAAAAGTGATTTAAAGCAAAAGCTGTTTATCGAGTCCCTTAAAAAAAGTAGTCTTTTCTGCCCTCTATTGGTGATAAAAATAAAATCTACTTGAAAATAAAGGCATTCCACTCTCACATCAATTTTTCTCCTCTCTTCTCTCCCTTCCTCTCTCTCTAAAAATAAATTTAAAAATACTTAAATAAATATACACAATTATCTGAAAAGGTGATTGAAGTTTCCTCCCTTTTCCAACCACATATATATGTGAGTCTAGCCTTTCTTCATCTGTTTCAATCAGAACCTATCATGACAGAATGAATGAAGAAGCTAATATAAAAATTGAGCTGTCCTCTAATAAGCCAGACATTAAGAAGATTTGCAAAAATGTAAAACAATGCCATTCTTCCCACTAATTTATTTTGCAAAATATAATTTTCATGAGAAATGTCATTTGTTAGCATGTAATGGTTTATTAATGTTATTTTTATCTACTTTAAAATTAATGTTATTTTAAAATAAATGTAAAAGGTTTCTCTTAAGGTCTTCATTTCTAATACAGTAAATATTGATACATATAACCCACAGAAAATCTCTTTTACGTCCTCAACTATTTTTAAGAGTGTAAAAAAGTGCTGAAACCAAAAAGTTTGAGATTGCTGCCTTAAAACAATGTTTTCCAAATTTCAGTCACATAGCATTTCCACAATTTTTGTCATTTATCGGAGTACCAGCTATATTGTAATTTGCTTTATTTCTTCAAATTAAATCATTTTTAAACTTAAATTATAATAGCTAACATATTTTTCTAAGCTTTATGTATTTAACTCAAGTCTCACAACACTCTGTGAGGCAAGGACTATTATTAGTCATTAATCATTATTATTTCCAGGGCATATTCAACTTGTGCAGTCTGGCTCCACTCCAGAGCCAAACTCTTGATCACTTCACTATTCAGCCTCGAAATGTTTTCCTACCCACCACCTAGAGCCATTCCTATCACACTTCAGGAAATGCTGCCCTCGTGAAGAGCACCATCTAGTCTTTCCAATCAGCAATTTAAATATCTATGCTTTGTGACATTTAAAAGCAGACCTCACGATTTGTATGGTACTTTTTATTAAGTTCAAAGTGCAAACGATGTGGCATGCAAGAATGAGTGTGATACACTTTCCTTATTTGTAAGTTACTGGAATTTTCAGCCCCTTCTCCCCCAGTGAAACTATATTTAGTATTTAGAAAAGTTATTTTTTAAGAAAACTATTGTTGAGGTGGCCCCCATTTTTCCTAAAAGTGGAGGTGGAAATATTCTTATTTGCTCCATGACTCAGAATAGAAATGGAAGTCAGGGGAAGAGAAATGCTTAATGCAGCAGAACGTTTGGTAGCTCAAAAGTGAAAGAATGGTGATATCTTTCCTCCTGTCTAGACTCAATTCTTCTTCCTCCTGTGGCCTCACCCATGGAGAATTCCTCTAACTCTATCTGTACCATCCATTCAGCACTAGTATTCTCTTGCCATGTCGAATGCCTTTTAGTTTATAGGTGTGGTACCATTTCCCCCGAACAGACACGATGCTTGAGAGCACAAGTTGTTATACACATTTGCATCTCCAACAGCACTGAGGACAGAATACTAGAAACAGTTAACTCTCAGTAAATATTACCTCAAAGGTAGTCAATTTACAGATCAAAAAAAGTTTAACCAGGGGGATGTAACTTTAACCAATTACTTTCATCCTGTCTGCTCAAGATCCCCTACCCATCAGGGACATCTGAATATCATACTGCACTTTAAATTCCTTTAGCGAAAGATTTGATAAAATAAAAAAAAAAGTGGAGAGATTCACTCAATATACAACAGACTATATGTGCAAAATAATATCATTTAACGACACTAAATAAATTATTCTTTTTCAAATAGGGATCTAAGCATTCCTATTTGAAAAAGAGTAATTTAATAAGTTCATGTATGTAATCCCACCACATACTCTGAGATTTAGAGGTCTTCTGTAAACGAAGTACGTGTGCTTTGTGATAGATGATTACTTCCAGATTGTTTTGCTCATTTAGCCTTTTCCTCAGTCATACGTGAGAGAGTTGCAGTTGCTAGACAAGTGACCTCTTGATTAGTAAGTTAAAACTCTACTTTGTGGTTTAATTCTCTGTTGGGGCAAAGTGGTGTAGTCACCACACTACAGTGGAAGCCTCCTGAATTCAAACCCTAGCTTTGCCACTCGCTAGACTGACACTGAGCAATCTCCAACCGCAGTAAAATGGAATACAAGCAATACCTAGCTCATGTGATTGTTGTGAGAATCTATAACAATAAAGGCATAATATGCTAATTAGACCAGATGTCCTTCTGGACATCCTTCCGGATGACCTTCTGGATGAAGTCGGGCCTGTGAAGGAAGCCCAGGTCCTGGGTGCTGCCGGCTGGAGGGAAGTCTGGGTCCCGGGTGCTGGCAGCTGGAGGGAAGCCCAGGGTCCAGGTGCCAGAGGGAAGCCGGTGCTGGCAGCCAGGTGAAGGAAGGCCTACTCTTGCACAAATTTTGTGCATCGGGCCTCT